GGGCTCCAGCGGCCGAATTGAACCAAAGGATTAGCCGATGCTTCTGCTTAATCCTTCCGTTCAATAGCAAATAACCCCCTTAGTTTGCTAAAGCACTAACTGAACATAAGCAATTGTCATTTATTAAATAAACTATTGTTTTCACCTTTTTTTGTCAATTTTTGTGTGCTGCAGATCATTCAGCCTTTTTAAGCCACTGTGTACATGCACTCACTCCCATTTGGATTGTAAATAATCGCTTCTTAAGGCCTAATTAACACTGCTAAGAGCCGGCCTATAAAAATCCATGCGGCGTGCACGGCCATATCGGGCCGTTCCTGTGAAGGGCAGGAGCTGCATGTGATTGTATGCAGCAGCCTGTTGTTCTCTATAGGAGTACGCGGCTGAACGCTCACCCGAGCGGCACATCCATGCAGGTGCGGATGGATCCTGTCTGTGTCCGAGCATGGACAACCGTACGGATGTGCAGTTCGGGTGAGCGTACAGCGGCATACGGCTGCGTCCTCACATAGAGAAGAACAGGCTGCTGCGTACAATCACATGTAGCACCTGTCCTTCTCGCGAGCAGCCCGATACGGCCATGTACGCTGCATCGATCTGTACGGGCCGGCCCTTAGCAGTGCGAATGAGGCCTTATAGTGACATTGCTGGATCATGTCAGGGTGTCAACACTGGAGCACAGTAAGGAGACAATTGTCACCACATATCAGGAATTACCTGAACAGAGATCTTCATGGCAGGATCACCGGAAATTCATATAAAGAAGAAATCCAAGAAAACAAATGATTAACTCTTGCAGTAGGGCTACCCTGCACTGCAAGGATTAACTGCTCATTTTTGTCTAGGTTAAAAAAAAAAGGTTATACTTACCCAATGCTCTGAGCCGGCTTGTTCTTAGACCAGTTCCTGGAGTGTCTCTCCTCCTCTGCAGCGACCTAAGGTCCCATAAATCTTTGCCTCTATACACAGTGTATAGAGGTGAAGATGCTGAGTAAGATTCTAATGCTGCAGTGGTGGAGGAGACGGGCTGGATGGAGCGCTTTGACAGCTGGCTGGCTAGGAGCTTCGGGTGAGTATAACTTTGTTTTTTAGCAGATAGACAAAAATTAACACTTAACCTTTGCAGTGTGGGGGTAGCTCCTCTGCAGGGGTTAGGAAAAAGTTTTTCTGGAGTTCTTTGTTACTGAAAACTGCAGATTCAAACAACTGAAGCAATGTTAAGTTTGAAAGCTCATATGAGACTTTAATTCTTGGGCTTAAATCTACTCTAACGTACATAACTATGTATATAGCTACCCAGACAGCATCCTAAAGCTCAGCTATACCTTTAGTACAAGTTGGCCTTCATTGAGTTTCCCAACCTCCATCAGAGCAGCCAACCTGGTTACATATTAACCTTCCTTTTCATTTCAGTGATCTTCACTGTGCAGCACTGCCTAGCACTGCATAGTCTTTCCTCTGAAAACGTCCGCACCAAGTTCTTTTCCCGGCATGCGGCCCCATTCATTTCTATGGAAGAGCCATATTCTGCTGGAGGCCACTATGTTTACAGCTCTCCCATAAGAATGAGTGGGGCCACGGCACGGCTGCCCATAGAGAGCTCACCTGCTCATTGCATCACTTTCATACTGGCTGAACCAGTGAGGGGTCATTCCATCTCTGCTCCCTTGACCGCTGAGGTACATTCTGCAAGCGAGGAAGAGATGACCTAGAAGCAGTAAATTCTGTTTTTTAGTGATCCTGTTGCTGGCAGGTTATAACCAGCAACAGGATTGCTACTGACATAACTCCTTATTGTAAATAAGAAGTGCCCTGTTTAGGGAGAAAGTTGCCACATTTGGCATGTTAAATGTTTCTTTTATGCACATATGATTTCCCTCTGTAAATAAACCCTTTAAGTGTTTAGTGTAGCTTGTGTTAATGTTTGCCTTCATGATTAAACATTAATATATTCACTACAGTGGTAATGAGATTACGTACTGTTGCTTCTTATGACTAGTTTGTAATGTTAATGAACGGGATTAGCACATTGGATCATTTGCAATTCATTATGGATGCAAACATTTTGTTTCCAAACAATATCTGCACCAAAATAAATGCTACAGCAAATTCAGTAAACACTGTTACACTTCTCTGCGTCTTTGATGTTTGTAAGTTGCAAACTCATACAGGCAGGGCTGTCTTCTATTGTATCTTCTTTCTGTATATATTTTGTTACACGGCTGTGTGTGCTTGTCATCTCAAATATTTTTATGTAGTTATACTATCTTCTTAGAAGATAGATACGGAGTTTTACTCCTCTAGCTGTGGCCCCTTCCTTTACTAACAATCAATATTTGACAACATCCCCCATAAATCAATATTAGACATAGAAATACCTGTGACAAGTGACAATAAACTCAGGAGTTACATCTTAAAAATGCATTCCAGTAGCTTAATGTATAAATAAACCATCAGGGTTTTTTTTATTGCATGTATCTACTGTTAGCAAGCAATAGATATATGCAAAAACATTATTAAAAAAAAAGTTACCAAAAAGGTTAAAACTTACCTCTGTCTCCGCTGTGTGGTCTGCGGTCTACCGTGTAGTAGTGCTGGTCTGAAGTCTGCTGTGCATTCTGTCATTAGCTCACTTTCCAAATCGCCGATATTGGTCTACATTTTTAAATTACCCTGCAATTCGCCTTGTAGTGAATAGGCCTGCTATTTTGAAAATAATGTGAGAAATAATTTCTGTTACACAAGAATATTCATGCGAGGAGTGTGAGGCTTGTATTTGGGTGGGGCATGTATATTGGTGGAGCACAAGGGGGGCCCCATAATCTCATATTGCCCGGGGGCCCCATGTGTTGTGAGTCTGCCCCTGCTCCTGTCCAAAGTTCTGAAGATTCTTGGGCGGCCGCAAAGGATCGTGGGGCGGGCGCATGCGCAGAGAGGTCTTCGGCCGGGAGAAGAGAAGAGACACAGGGTAAGTCAATGCAGGCAGCCTGGCAACGTGCACCCGCACAGACTCTGTGGGACACAGGAGACACAGCAGTCAGTGCTGGATCAGAGACTGGCACCAATGCTGGAGGGACTCCTGAAAACTACTGGAAAAGAAGATCGGATCAAGAGGCATCATTTAAGGCAAGTCCTTAAAGCAGCATAGGAGGCGGCGAGGGAAGAAAAAAAAATGATTTTAATGTCACTTTCACTATTACCAAAAATGTATCCTATTTGTGTACCACTCAGCTGTAGATTCTCAAATCATCTCTGAATTGGTGCTGACACTGTCCTTCCTTCTGTAGGATGGCTACTTTTGTTCCACATGGTCCCAGTGTGTGCTGTAAAGTAGCCACCGCTCCAAGCTCACTCCCGTGATGAACTACAATCTCATGTTTTGCTTACTAATTTGTATTGAGATTGTAGTCCATCCCAGGAGTGAGCTTGGAGCGGTGACTACTTTACAACACACACAGGGACCATGGGGAACAAAAGTATCCACCCTCCAGAAGGAAGGACAGTGTCGGCACCAATTCAGAGATGATTGAGGATCTACATCTGAACGATAAACAAATAGGATACATTTTTGTTAATAGTTAAGGTACTTGAAGGCATTTTCAAGATTTAACTCCAGAGTTTAGTGTCCCTTTAAGAACATCATGAATCCAACCACAGAGATATGCATTTTTAAAACAGACATATTTTTTGGCTAAACCAGTTTAACAAGGATTCTCGATAATGTGGGACTTTATTTAAAGACATCTATGCATACTGTGACAAAGATATACATTGCAATAAATGGTTAATATCCTTTGTTCAGTTAATGGCAAATGAAACAAACCAGATTAATAGATGTCAATTTTCAAATTGCTGACGTGTTTCCTGGATCAACGTCCACTTCTTCTTCAGGATCATATATAATATCAACCTCTGTATATGTTATAAATTGAACATTGTTTTGTCTTTTTTTAAAGCACATTTCACCTAAGCAGTTAAATAAGCATAAATGAGAAGTTCACTGATGGCAAAATCAATATTCTCACTACAAAATGAGTTTTGCCCCAATTGTTCTGTATTCGGTTATAACCAGCGATATTTTACTGATTTATTAATTATTAATAATTTATTTAGCACGATAATTTGGATGCTTCATTTTTAGATGTAGAAGGATTGGCTCATTAAGTTCCAGCTTTAAGAATGTTTTAAAGCTTTTGGAGTATTATTGTCAATGTAGCAGTGCAATAGCAAACTTGGTTCCAGACAAACCCCAATGCCTCCTGGGTGACTGTCACTTGGCAGGATGATGTAATGCTCTGAGCAATATTAAACCCTCCACCACTGCACCAACTTCAGGAGCATGCACTTTGATGCCAGACAATTTTCCAGTGGAGTAGAGGTATGGTGTAAGGCCTCATGCACATGGGCCCATGAGGCTGTAGAACGTATATTGTGGGTGTACGTCAATGGATACACCAATATGGTGTACAACCCCCATAGTAGTTAATGGGTGTAGTCTGCTTTTCAAATGATAATAGTAATAATAATTATTATTTGGTTTAATGATGATAACAATAACAGTTCATAGCAGTGATCTCAGTAGTTTACATGTACTAGTTGGAAAAAGCACCATATTCACCATCTATGAGTGACCAAAGATAGATGGTGATTGGGGGACCAACTCTCTGTATTGTGAACAGGGCACAGCCAGATGGGAAAAGACGTAGAGTACTTGTACATTTGGCTTGAGACAGGACAAGGCTGGTGATCAGAAAATGCATGGGAATGATATTCCGTTCATGCCAATGTCTGTCCCATCATTCTGAATGACAGCTCCTTCTATCTGCAGAAATGAGCGGTTGCCGAGGCAGCAAAGCTGGTCTAGCTGCTGACAAAGTACAGAATGGTGCTGAGGCTCTGCATGATGCCACTTGCTGCTTGTCAGAATGAGCCCATAGTTACTGATGGTTCCGGAAGAAATGTGCTCACTAAAAATAATGTTCTTTTATTCTGGCTTACAGGTACTTATTCACCTTGGTAACATGACTTATGAACTGTGGTCCCAAAGTGGTAAACAAGGAGCAAGTTGGAAGAGAGCTGAAGTTTACCTGGGAACGTTGTCTAACTTTCAGGTTTGTCTTTTCTGATTTGTTTCACTATGTAATTGTACAATAATTTAATTTCATCTATTTATACAATGTGTATAAATACACTAAGTCTGCTTTAAAGAGGACCTGTACAATGGAAGCTGTTCTCAATATACAAGCTGAGGACAAAGAGCTAGTATTATCTGTGATCCCCCTGCAACTTCTCTTTCCTCTTTACTGACTTACTATGGCTTGTTTTGCACTGTGTGATTTTCTTCCTCATGTCAGAGCTGGTCCCCTGATGACTGTTGATCTGATGACCTGTGGGTTAATATTCAAGCAGCAGCAGGGCAGGTGGAGGAAGCACAGATCCACAGAATCAAGAAGAAGCAAGGAGATCCTTGCAGTGCCTTAGATGATCTCAGACTACACATATACAGCTATGAGGCTCAAGGCACAGGGAGTACACTATTTTTCAGGAATTCAAGCCAAAAAGTACTTGTATAGTACTACTTATAGTACTACTTAGGCTTTACATTGCAGTGTCCATTGGAGCCCCGCCAGAGCCACCAATGCCGGCACCAATACATGCAGGAAGCTAGAAAGGAAAACAAAGTGCAAAGACACACCTATGCTCCCCCTCCTAATTAAAATGATTGACAGCAGCTCTAGCGGTAGCGCTTAGGCATCATGGTACATGTAGAATTAATCCAATATGCTGACTAGTAATCATGTGCATTGTGCCTACTCCCAGATAGGAAGTTTGGGGAAGCGGCACATAGGAAGCAGGAGGATTTTTCGGGACACTAAGGGGGTTATTCACAAAGGAGCCGAAGGATCCAGCCGTAGCTTCGGCTGATCCTTTGGCTCTCTTCTGCCCTTCGGTTCAGTCATGGCCAGCTCCACTCAGTTGTTATTCATTGGCCGGGACCTGCTAGACTCTAGCAGGTGCCGACCAATAGGAAACATTTGGTCAGAGATAGCTGTCATTGCTAGCTCCGCCCAATTGTTTTTGTTTTTTTTTTAAATCTTTATTTTTTAAATTTAATATTTTATTTACATTTTTTAAAATATTTTTTCAACTTTTGTCACTATTTTCTATTCTGCTCTGTACCACGAAGGTACCGAGCAAAATAGCCAAGCCGAATGGCGCTCGCTTTTCACCCACTGCCGTTCTGAATAGGGACGAACGGCAGCAAGTGAGCTGCCGGACTTCGGTTTAGCCGATGCAGATGTTGAATTGACTGAGTTGTACTCCTTCTGCTAAGTGCAGCCAAAGGCAGCCGATGTACGGCTGATTTCAACCGATGTAAGGGTGAAATCAGCCGTACTGAGCCGCAGTGAATAGCCAAACGGCAGCTTTGTGAATAACCCCTAATATAAAAGTTAGTTTTGGTTTTTTTTTGAAATGGGTAGTGAAGAATCTTTAACTTTATTTAAATAAGTAAACAATTACCAATTATTTACTGTAAAAAAAAACCAAATAGGCTTTAGTATATCCAATATTATTCATCCCTTAAAAAACATGCTGATTCTTAACAGTGACACCTTCCATTGCCCATGCAATCATGCAACTCACCAGCAGCATATACAGTATTAACCTATAGGACATAGGAAATAGGATATAGATGAATATGAGACTCAATTCCTCTCTCCCATGTAACAGTGCTGGTGAAAATACAAGAGGTGGGAATCCAAAGCCCTGTGTAAGCTCTAACAAGTTAGTTTGGAGCTTACACAGGGCATTCTTTCCCCAGTCACAGTGGCCAAACCAAGCGGCGCATGGGAAAGCAGATTAGAGTATATACTGCTGGGGAAGGTGAGGGAGTGGTTTGACCCTTGTGTGCCACATATTGAAGTTGTTTCAGCCAGCAAAGCTCTGGAAGACAGTGGCATGAAAGCTAAATATTAAGCTTTTAATTTGCAAGCAGGGCTTTCATTTGAATGTTTTAAAAAAAAGTGTTAAAGTCATTATACAAGGTGAAGAGCAGAATACAAAGAGCCACAACCAGTTACAGTCATCTGTCCTTGCTTTGACAGAGGAGACATCTGGTTGCTATGAGTTATTGCGCTGCATGGGTTATATTGTTTCTGCTGTCTACTCTGCTTTACTTAATACATCTATTTGGTTTCATACCCCGGTATATCTCATAGAAGTGTTGTCTCTTTTCTCTACTGTTATATCTTAGACGAGAACCAAAGTAGCCCGGAAACTGCGATTGTAACAAGAGCTTAATAATATATTTCCCATTCTGTTACCCTCATAATATTCCCCTCGGAGTTTAACGGAATGTCTAATTTACTGGAGCGAAGCTGAAATATAGTACTATAAACAATGTCAGCGGCATGGTAATTAATTGGACTTACCATATGTTCAACAATGTGTCTCCTAGCCAAATAATTAAAGCGATATGTATTTGCGCTCGGGTATCTTGTTTAGCATACAGTAGATCTTGGAAGATCATTTCTCAAATGTTAAACAGAAGAACGCCGTGCGCTTAGGTAATGAGCCAATCTGCTACAACAGCATAAAACAGAGGGTATTGTTCAAGAGCAGGTATTTTTAGCAGTGACATTTTGATATTGCTTCTGTGTGAAATATATGTGTATATATGTGTTTTACAACTTTTTTAGAACGATGTGACAATGTACATAAGGAAACTCAAATCCTGCTGTCGCTAAGTTTTTTTTTTTCCTGCATGAGTTTTGCTTGGCAATAAAACACAATGGTGATCAAAGAAAAACCTATAAGGATGAAAATATGGGGGCTGCTGTTGCTGTGGCAAAACAAAATAGGGAGGCTGCCATTATTGTGCTTCTTCTGGAAATGATCCTTGCCTGGCAGGCATTCTAATCTTAAATATAATCCATCATGGGGAAAAAAAACTTCTGCAGGCACATAGAGGTGCAAATATCTGTACGAGACTCCAAAACGTTGCTGATGTGGCCAATCCTGGGCTTTTCTGAGAGGCTAAACCTCAGGTCTTCCTAATAATGCTGAAGCATGCCTGCCCTTTACTGCCATCTGCACATTCCTATTGTCCAATGGTGCTGCCCATTATAGTGATGGGGGCTGATAGGGGTGTGTGTGTGTGGGGGGAGGGGGGTGGGGGTGGTGATCAGGAGGGACACAAGGTAGGGGCAAGCTTTGACACTACCTGGCAGGGGTGAAGCTTTGCCTGTCAGAATGGACTAGTGTTCAATCATAATAGCGAGGTTTTGGAGGCTGCCATGGATACAGTATCTATGCACTTTATACCATTCGACGTTATATTTTCTTCTCCTAATGACAGGGTCTCTTAAAGTACTTTTTGTGTCACTGCATACAGCCAGCGTAGTCAGAATTTCTTAACTGCATAATTCTGGGCCAGTGACGGAGGAAGTATTTTAAAATCATTATATTAACATGACAACCAAGCAAATAGTATTTTCAGAAATAAAAATCTGCAATTGCAGCCTCCATATATCGCTATATTGCTACAGTTCACCTTTAATAGGCAGCTCCAAACAATTTGTTTTCTATTTTTCAGGTGAAGTGGGGCAAAGTTCTCTTATCCATTACACAACCTAGGCATGACTTTGACAGACGATTTGCCGAGCACAATAGAAAAGAAGGGAAAAGAATGAAAAACATAAAAAATAAAAGTTGAAAAATTATATTAAAAAATAATTAAAAAATAGGAAAATTCAAAAAAATTAAATATTTTAAAGATAAGAAAAAAAAACAATTGGGCAGAGCTAGTGGTGACAGCTAGCTCCACTCAACTGTTGGCCGGGACCTGTCAGAGTCTGGGCCAATGAATAACAACTGGGCGGAGCCGGCAGTGACGTCACTGCCGGCTCTGACCAGTTGTTATTGTTTAATGACAAATCAGCGTCCCCAAATGACGCTGATCTGTCATTACAACTGGGCAGAGTGAGCCGTGAGATCACGGCTGGCATCTCCCAGCTGTCATTCGCGTGGAGATCAGTCAGCTTTAGCTTCTCCACACTTCAGCTGTGACTTCGGCTCAGTCGAGCCGAAGCATATGCCTTCGGCTCGGCTGAGCCACTCAGCTGCCTTTGGCTGCTATACGGGCTATTGTGGATACCCCGTACAGAAGTCCTTCAGTTTCACTGAACCGAAGGGCAGAGACGGCCGAAAACAGCCGAAGGATCAGCCGGCTGGATCCTTTGGCTCTTTAGTAAATAACTCCCGATATGTTTGCTATAGCAAAAAATAATTCTTACCTTTTAGATGTGTCTGTGTGGCTGGCCCTTGCAAGTCTCTCTCTCAATTTCAAAGTGATAGGAAACTCTGTCTGTCCCTATAGAAAGACTTGGGACGGAATGAGCCTCCCCCATTAACATGCATTGCTGCTAGATCTTTAACCCTTTGTTAGGACAGCCAGTTTTCAAATCTAGTTTACTGCTACTAAAGCATGCTACTGGATAAAAAGAGCCAATTTATTCCACAGTGAATTTAGCCCCCTTAAAAACCACTAAGAGTCTAACTTCTCACACAGCGGGCCACGGACTGAGTCCCCATTCCTGTGGTTTCTCTTTCCCCCCCTTTTCTCCCTCGCCCACAGCCTCCTCTCCCCGTGTGGATGCACATCCCCCGGCCAACCAGTTCCAGGTAGACTCCACGGATGACCCGATCCTTCGCACCGGCCGTCCATCCTCTGGTCCCATGAATTAAAATGTAAGTGCTTATTCTTTTTCCTCAGCTATCCATTGGTTTTTCACCCATTGCACCCATTGTCACACAATTTTCCTGTTATCTTCCCTGGGTCTTCCGACCCGGTCAGTTAGCCCACCCAGTGTTGCGCCCTTTTGGTTATTTTGTTTCTAGTTTGCATATACACAGGCACTCCTCCTGGGTTTCAGGGCTGCACACGATCTAGGGTCATACACTGTTTACCTACTTATTACCATTACAAGAGCGCTGTTTGTACGATTTGTGTTTTTAAGAGTCTAACTAAACTAGCTATTTAGGGCCCTGATGAAGGGGCAACCTTCTTGCCCCTGAAACGTGTTAGCCTGTTGTCTGACAGGCAGAAGAGGAAGTGAAAGGAAATCTCCTTAACAGGGACACAAGTGGAATTTGAAACCTGACAGTGGTTCTAACCCTTCCTCACTGTATCCAAAATTGTTACTAAATGTATAGAAATTCAATGATATCTTCTCTAAATGCATTTTGTTCTCCACCCACTTTCATTGTTGATTATTTTCCCTTTGCAGATTGTTCTACAAGCCAAACGTGGGGTCAGCTATATTGGAGATGTGACTGTGGATGACGTATCCTTTGAGAACTGTTCACCAATACTGATCCAAGATAAACAGTGCACATCACAGGAGTTCATGTGTGCCAATAAATACTGCATTCCCAAGAACAACATGTGTGACTTTGTCAATGACTGTTCTGACAATTCTGACGAGAACCCGTACATATGTCGTAAGTCACTGTGCATGCTGCATTGACTGCATAGCAATAGTTTGTCCGCAGGCAGAAATGGAAGTCAGTCAGGTGAATGGTCTTTAGAATGACTGGTAAATATACAGTATATGTATGCTGGCAGAAAATTCATTTCATATGCTAAGATTGGTTGGACAGAAAGTATCTGCATGAGTACAGGAAATGCATACATAGGTGAATGTTTACCAATGCCAGAATCTACCAGGTAGCAGATGGGATCCTCTGGTATTAAAGGTAACAGATTTAAAGACCTGGGAAAAGAATCCGTACTAGCTTGTGATTATTTGCCTTTTTATGCACTAATTAGGGATGCACCAATATATCGGCCGCTGAAACATATCAGCTGAAAATGGCACTTTTGACAAAATGCCAAAAGTGCAATTTTTTGACTGAAATAGCGGTGCATCCCTGCTTTCTCTCCTCTCCGCTGGGCGCTGCTCTGTGTCCCAGCGGGGAGGAGAGAAACTGTCACAGGCAGCCAAGCGCTGTGGGAGGAGAGCGCTGTGAGCGGTCGGCGTCTCTCCTCCCCGCACCACTCAGCTTCCTGTCACAGATCAGAAGAGCGGCTGGGTGGGCGGAGACAGCCAGTGCTGTCACAGGAGGCTGGCTGGTGGTGCGGGGGAGGAGTCAGCTGTCAAATCGAGCTCTCCTCCCCACACCTCTCACTCAGCCTCCTGTGACAGCGAGTCAGGATGGAGAGCGGGTACAAGCAGTCAGTGATCAATGATTGCTGAGTGTTTGTACATAATTGAGGACAGAGTATGGTTTACTATATCCTCAATTATGTATGAATGGGAAGTGATCTACAACACTTTCTATTAATTCATGATTGTGGATATAGTAAACACTCTCTGTCCTCAAGTTATAAATGAACAGGAACACTCAGTATAGAGGATTCCTGTTCATTTATAACAGGGGTTGCAGAAAAAGAGATTGAGGACTCTGTGTTCTCAATCTCTTTTTCTATTTTAAAAGTGAAATATCAGGGGTCTATGTAGATCCCTAATATTTCCCCAAAGCCCCTAAAAGTAAAGTAAAAAATAAAAATATTTAATAAAAATTAAAAAATAAATAAAAATGAATATAAAAAATGTAAAAGTTTATAAAAAATAAATACAAATAAAATATTTGAAAAATTTGAAAAGTTAGAAAAAAAACATTTTTTTTCATTTTTTTCATTTCGATTTCGTTTCGGTTTTAACATTTTAATTTCGGTGCACCTCTAGTACTAATTGATTTGTCAATAACTTTACCATAACTTATGATAAACAGTGATATGTATGTTCTTTTTTTAAGAAGGGGGATGAACACTGCTTTCTCTATGTTGTATCTTATTACAAGAATTTCGCTATAATTTTTTTAAGATGAAAATTTATCAAATTGAAAAAAAAGTTTATTATTTTTACCCATTTTTGATCAGTGATAGTTTGAACAACTACTTTTGAGCATCAACTGGACTTGCATTCACAATCTCACCATGTCTCCTGGGCCTATTATTCTCTACTACAAGAGGGTTGTTGTTGGATGAGGGCTCCTGTATACAGCAGGGTTTCTCAACCTTTTTTTCAGTCACGGCACCCTTAAAAGTATGCAAAATGTCCAGGCACCCCAGTATGTTCGGATCCCTGCAGAGCCCACCAAAGACCCTGCAGAGCCCACTACAGACGCTGCAGAGCCCACCACAGATTCTGCAGTACGCAGGGTCTCAGGGAGGCAGTGCAGGATCTGTGGTGGGCTCTGCAGGCTCTCAGGGGGGCTGTGCAGGGTCTGTGATGGGCTCTGCATGCCCCCAATAGACCCTGCAGAGCCAACCACAGATGCTGCAGTCTGCCCGCTGCTGCACCTGACCTTCTTCACAGCCAGACCACTGGTGCTGCGAGCACCCGGCCTCCACTGCTCGCCTGCCTGACACTTCTGGGTCCCAGCCTCCTCCGCGCCTGACTGGTGCTTTGGGATTGGCTTCCTCCATCGCCCGACAGGGATACGGACCTGCCCCCTCCTGCTGCTGCTGCTCCTCCTCGCCTCTGCCTCCACCTCTGACTACTCCTCCTGCTCGATTAGGCAGCCAAGGCAGCGAATTCTGTGCAGCCCGGCTTGCCTGACTGTTTTGGGGCGGCATTTTTGACACCCCCCGGAAAGTGCCACCCAAGGCAAACGCCTTGTTTGCCTCATGGCAGATATGCCCCTGGTCAGAAGGAATGACTGGGGAGCAGAAGGGAGGTAAGTAACAATGGGTAAATAAACCTGTCACTTTGCCTTGAATGGCCAGAACACAGTAGTGATGTAGCGAACACCGGGATTAACTGAGGTACCTATTTAGAGAAACACTATTTAAATCACCCAGGAGTTTTAAGCCCGTGACACACTGCATATGAATCCGCAAGCATCAAAGTGAAGCTGTGAGGCACAGACCTTCGTGTGGAGTATGTGAGAGCTCGAGTGCCTGAGTGAGGCAAGGTGAAAGACTTCATCTTCAGTCAATCGGCACACGCGTATGAATGGAAGTCTCTGATGGTATTACTATCTGATGAGATTTTTCATATAAACATTCTAATGAAAATCTACCACTGCATCACCAGCTATAGATAGCAACGGTGCCCAGAGCTCTCCAAGAGACATGTTCAACTACTGGAAAAGTCATTTTTAAGCATCATAATTTATTGGAGTCTGACAGCTTGTTTTTTAGTTGTTTGTTTTTTGTGTGCTGGAGTGACAGGGTCACTTTAAAGCAGTAGAGAACTGTCTGATATTTTTTCAGTGGAAACAGTATACATAAACAATGTACACCGCCTAGCCAAAAAAAGGTCACCACCTGGATATTATGATCTGGGGTTGCTTCAGTTGGTTAGGTCTAGGTTCAGCAACACTATGTCCCTGAAAAATGAGGTAAGCTACCTACCCGAATATACTGAAGTTTTACCATCAATCAATTTTTTTTTTTTTTGGCACGAGCATATTCCAAGATGACAATGCCAGGATTCACCATGTTCAAGTTCAGACCCAGCTATGTCAAGGGAGGACCGAGAGCCTGACAGTGTCAGGAGAGAGGAGGCATACCTCATCCTGCCAGGTGAACGTCCCCTCCTCTCTCTGACGGTGTCCATCACCAAGATGGCCGCCGGCAGGCGAAGAATAAGACGACCACGCATGCACGATGATGTCATGGCAGGGTGTCACCCGGTCTCTGCTCCGGGTGTCACCCACACTCGGGATGCCCCTGTTCAGACCTTAACGCTACTGAGAATATTTGAGATGTATGGAAAAGAATTTAAGCAGTGGTCCGACGCTCCCATCCTCACTACAAAATCTTGGTGAAAAATGAATGCAACTGGGTGGAAATAAATGTTGTGACATTGCATAGGCTTATTGAAATTATGTGATGACGAATGCGTGCCGTAATTAAAGCTAAAGGGGGTCCAATGGAATATTAGAGTGTGTGACTTTTTTTTGGGCCCGGGCAGTGTATATCACTCATTGCTTGTTCTATGGAAACACGATTCCCTTCATTCAATTGTTTTACATGTTTAATTGTAATGTTTTTTTTGCTGGAGGGCTCCAGGATAACATCGCTGGAATAGGACCGTATACTGAAAAAAGTTTTTTTTATAGGGAGCATTGAACACCCCAGTGTATTTAAGTCTGAGCTGCTCACCTTGATGAGTATTAATTTACCACACGGTTCAGGCTATTGCAAATCTCCATTTTAATTTACTGCGTCTGACCTTGGCATGCGTGCAATTAATCAAACTTGGCATTGTAACCGATAGTGAAATTTACGAGCAAAATGCAGAGCAGTGGTTTCCTTTTTTTTTTAGACTTATTCAGTAAAGCAGATCGAAATGTGCAAAGTGCTCTATACCATAGCAACCAGGTTTCATCTTTCAATTAGCTTACTTTATGGGCCCATTCTCACTATTGTTGTTAATTAGTGTTAATGTGTGTTGCAGAATGACTACAGAATGATTGGCACCACACCCCACCGAAGCAGGCAATAGTATTTAAAAAAAATTATTTTTATTCGTTTTACAATATATCAAAACAAGCCACTAACATAGTGTCATAACACTACAATACAAGTTATGAGGTACAAGTATTTAGAGTGTAGAATGACCCAATCTAAAATTGATCTACGATGTTAAAACAGTCTCAATTGCTTTGATAAATTCTCTTTATTATTTCTAGGTGCTTATCTTGGACGCTGCAACTTTGAATTCGACCTTTGTGACTGGAAACAAGACCAGGATGATAATTTTGATTGGAGCTTACGATCTGGCAGCACCCCAACGCACGGCACCGGTCCGGTCACTGATCACACTCTGCAGAATCCATCTGGGAGTTACATTTTCATTGAATGTTCATTTCCTCTCTTACCGGGCCAAGCAGCTAAACTTTCTGGGCCATTGGTGAGCAAGTGGAGCAGAAACTGCAAGGTACGTGTCACACCCCACACAGGAACCACACTTGGGTTCCTTCTTTATACAGATATCACCTAATTGTGCATCAATATTTTCTATCTGTATTGAATGGTAAAATGAAAGTGGAACTATTGGGTGAGTAAAATGTACTCTTCCTAATAATTTGAGCCGCCGTGTGACACTGCAGCTGTCACACGGCGGCTCTATAGCTTGAGAACTGAGCTGCTTCCTGCAGATCGCGGTGACTGACAGGGATTCCCCCTCCCCTCTGTTTCTCCAGTGCTCATTGGAGGGACAGACTGTGCGAAATTCCGCGAATATCACGGGGCTAGACACTCCCTCGGGGACTCATAAAGTGGCCGCATGCGCGGATGACCTACTTTTCTACCTTTCAAGCCCATTGACTTCCATACCACACCTGCTCCAGGCTTTTTCCATCTATGGTCAGCTCTCCAATTTTAAAGTCAACGTCCACAAGTCGGCAGCCCTCAATATAACAGTACCTCCGGAGGTAATAGATCTCCTACGACCCCGCTTCCCGTTTCGATGGGAATTATACCATCTCCAGTCTCTGGGTACACTGATAAGAGACACTGTCTTCTCCCGAGAATAGTACTTAGTCGCAGAGCCTTAATGTACAGAATTGTTACGGCTGAATGGGACGGTTGATGCACCTACGACTGTACTAAGCTGTTATGATTATTCGGATGTGATTCTTTTCAGTCGGGTTATGTTACCTTGATGCGGAGTGATCCGTTTTATTACGAGTTCTGTGGAATTTATGCCCATACTCTGTAACCACATACAATGGTTTTTTTTTGTATTTTACTTTTTTCTCAGTCAATAAAGAATTAAAAAAAAAAAAAAACAACGAACCTAGCAACATACCTAGCAAAGAGAAACAAGGCTGCTAAAATATTTTTTATTTGTAAGGATATAATATGTGGAAAAACAAAACATTGGAGGGACAGACAGGGGAGGAGGTGGGCACAGCTTTCTCTGGCTCTAGAGAGGCAGAGCCAGCTGTCAATCAGGTAGCGGGGTGGATCCTGAGAATATTGTCGGGATCTTTTCTAGCTACAGTGCAGCTCTATCGCTGTCAGAAAAAAGTGCAGAAATCTGCAAAAAGTAGCTTATGTAATTTTTTCAGCAACAGGAGTTTTGCTACAGGCGACATAACGCTCAGGTGTGAGCAGAGGCCATAGAAAACAATGGGATTCCTTGTGCTCAGTGTTTTGTATCTTCGAGCATTGAGCTACAAAATGCCTGTGATTGAGGACTTAAAGTCCTACATATGGTGTTAATAAAAGTTGAGTCATAGAGTGTACATAGAATCTGTAGCTGTGTAGCCTTCCACTTTCTCCCTATATATCAGCATGGGGTGGAATTGGGAGTATTGGCACAGACAGGAATTTACATTTCATGTTTTCCAGTTAATGACCCAATTTGTTAAACTGCTTTAAATCGGTCAATGGAAAAAACATAAAGTGGAGAAACATGCACATGGTATTATCATATACTGCTGCAAGGGAAGGGGAGGTGAGACAGGAATTGACACTTCAAGTAAGTGATCAGATTCCTACTAAAGTTACTAACGGAAAAAGCAGGGACACATACAAGTGATTATTATCCTCCTCTGCTGCAAGGTTTTCATTTGAAAAATTAGGTCTAGTGAGAGGTCTCTTTAAAGTCATTGTAAAGCATGGCAATTAACTTTTCATATTTGCTCCCTTTTGGTCTGTTAAACATAGCATTGAAAGCATTTTGTTATATTTGTTCAATATGTGCAAAAAACACCTGTTGATCCAACCAGAAATCCTGTTCCCTATGCTCTCAGCCGGTACCCAGGGCCATCACAAAAAGGAAGGAGCATGAGGCAGTTGACTCAGGTGGCATTTCATTGGGTTAGTGGCAGGTTTCTGTGTGTATGGGGGGGGGCAGCAGATGGTCAGCCACAGTAAACCAGGTTGCTAAGAGCTCTTAGGAACCTGTGGCGCTTTGTCTGGCTTCCCAACCCAGCTCGCTGATGTCATTGGTCATCAGGGGGAAAACCCTACCTACCCAAAAAGCATCCCCTAGCAGCAACCCCGCCTTCCCCCTCTACACCCTCAGGTGGCATATTGGGTAGGGACGGCCCTGCCTGTACTGTATAATCAGTTGCATTGTTCACAGCTATCTCTGAGGACTACAGAACCTCTCTCCTCTATCTTTTGAAGGAGAGGGGAAGATTATTGTAGTCCTGTTCTATGGTGACAGTGCTGCTCATCCATAGACAGAGTATGGCGAGTGAGCGTTGCCTCCTCGGGGCAGGATACGTGGTAATGGCAGGCTCATCAGGGAAAATAAAGGGCAAAAAGCCTGAAACTAATGCACTCACCACATCTAAGAGTGGGTAAGCTGCAATATATAAATTTTTTACATATTACAGATTAGCTTTCTCGATATGGCTTGCTGCAAAAAAAGGATCCTAGCCTAAAGTCTTCCTTTGCATATGTCAACTAGCAGCCCATGCAATGAAGAATGTTACATGTTTCTGGTTTCTACCTTTTCCACAACTATGCCCCCAAATGTCTGGTATTTTCAGTATATGATTGTGGATCTCATTTTGAGACACTCTTGTCTGTGTTCTTTCATAGCTGAATTTTTACTTTCACATGTTTGGAGAGGGAATCGGCTCGCTGACCGTGCATCAGGTGACAGTGAGCAGACAGGCAGTGCTGCTTTTAAACCTGACCGGAGGCCAGGGGAATTTCTGGCAGAGGAAGGAATTGGAACTCCATGAACTTGGAGAGGATTTTTATGTCACACTTGAAGGGAAAGTGGGCAAGGATCAAAGAGGGGACATCGCCCTGGATGACATACTTCTATCTAATGATTGCATTCCGTCCTCCACTTCTGTCTCTGAATCTCACATCACCTGGCCAATGAAAGGTAAAGTGTCTATGTCATTTCAGATGAGCCATTGGGGGTGATTTACTAACCTAAACACACGCACGCACTAGGTGCGTGTGATTTTTACACAGAAAAACTTATTTATCAACCAAAAAGTCTCTAAAAGCATATTTCCACTAATGCCATATATGGAAAAATCATGCACATGATGCATATATAATGCTGCTTCACAGTTTAGACAAAAATGGTTAGCTCATGCATTTACATTCCTGCATTCATCAACGCAAGCAACACAACATAGAGCTAATTTACACAACATCACCTTGCAAATTCATGCAGGGCTTTGCACAACACACCTGCTGGGTGTGTACACACTACAAAGGTGTTTAGATTCCACCCATAGATCATGCTGGGAGGGAACACACTACAGAGGTGTATACACGTTCGTGTTGTGTTTATAAGGTTAGTAAATCAACCCCATTGTCTTAGAAGTTTTATCTTTAATAAGAAATTGTCCTAATTTAAATATGTTTTTCTTCAATCAGCTTTATTGCTTGATAAGGTAATAACACTTTCTAAAATATGTCTTTCCATGGTGCAGGCAAGCTTCTGATGTGATGAGTGCTCCTGGTGTGAAGGGGTTCAACATTATATAGTTTTCACAAATGGAGAATCCAATTCACAATATATTATGTATAATTGATATAGTTAATTACATATCTTATAAGTGGGAGATGACGAGGGCGGGGAGCTTATTAATGTAAGAGGTATGAATGTACCCCAAAAAAGATCTCAAATCTTATTCGATATGCACAAACAGAAAGTGGGAGTATTGTACCTCCAGGAAACACATTTTAAGGACTCATGTGTCCCCATAATACCTACGAGACACTACTCTAAGTGGCATATGAGCAATTATTCTCTGAGTAAATATAGGGGAGTAGCGATAGGCTTCCATAACTCACTCCCAGTGACAGACTTACAGGAATTAACTGACGAAGAGGGACGTTACCTTTTTGTAAAGTGTAAAATATATGGTAAACAATATACATTAGCAAACGTGTATTTACCAAACCATGGCCAGGTGGGGGCATTGCTTGGGATATTGAACCACCTTAGTAATTATATGGAAGGTCTAGTAATATTGGGTGGGGATCTCAACATAGCGATGGACCCTGCAATGGACACATCGAAGGAAATAGGACATATCTCCTCCTCCCAACTTAATAGACTAAAACACCGTCTCCATAAATTACAGCTGGTAGATATTTGGCGTGTGCTTAACCCTAAAGCGAAGGACTATACATGCCACTCTTTGACCCACTCGTCTTATAGTCTAATAGACTATTTTTTGGTCTCACATAGTATACTGAGCTGGCGACATAAAGCACATATAGGAGTGCAAATTTGGTCTGATCACTTTCTAATTTTTTGCACAATAACAACACCGAATACAATGAAATCACAAGCAACATGGAGGTTAAATTAGACATTATTGCAGGATTCGGTTACAAGACAGACGATCACTCAGGTGATTTTGTAACCGACCACGAACACGATACCACAAAGCCCCCACTGAAATGGGAAGCCTTAAAATGTGTGATTAGGGGTACCTTGATCTCACATGGCACTCGATTAAAAAAAAAAGAGAAATTAAGTTACTAAAACCTTATTAGAGGAAATATATCATTTGGAGAGCAAACATTTGGATGCAGAGGTCTTCCAACAACTACTGCTGCTATACCCAGGAGTCAGGACACAGACAGACGCCGATCTCCGCCGACTGACTGTTCACACAGGCCTTGCCTTTGACCCCCAGCACAGTGAGTCAGACTCCGAGACTGTGGGAGGAGCCTGCTGCCTGCTTGAGGAGTGACGCTACAGGCGGCTGAAATCAGCTGAAATCAGCTGATGAAAATGTCGAAGGATCGGCCGAAGCTACGTCCAGATCCTTCGGCAGCTTTGTGAATAGACCCCTATGGCTCACACTTCAGAGAAGATTGCAGAAGCGTTCTTCAATTATTACAATTACTTATATAACATAGGGAAGGAAAAATCCACAATTGAAAGGGGATCAGATAAAGAACGAAAAATCCAATATGTCTCCCGGACAGCGCTCCCTAGGCTGGGACGGGATATTATGGATTCATTAGACAAGCCCTTTACATTAGAAGAGATAAAAGGGGCGATCCATGCGATGCTGTTGGGGAAGAGTCCAGGCCCAGATGGGTTGACAGGGATATTCTACAATGCTCCCATCCCCCCTTATTACGTTAGGGAGTGGGAACGAGAAATAGGACAGACTTTCGCAGAAGAGGAATGGCATAATGTTTTTCTCCTAACTTTTAAATCAAGTATTTCGGTTGGAATACAGGAGAGGAACTTTAAAATAGTAACCAGGTGGTATAGATGCCTAGTGAAACTACATAAAAAAGACCCTCAAACAACCAATATGTGCTGGATATGTGGAATGGAAGAGGGCACAATGCTGCACATATGGTGGACCTGCCAGTGAATAAAGCCCTACTGGAAAATTATATTCGAGTTAACAGGTAGAGCCATGGGCTCAAAACTGCCTGAAACCCCAGAAGTGGCATTACTGTCAATGCTTCCGGGCTCAGTAAAAAGTATTAAGGGGGGACTGGCATGCCCCATATTGGCAGCAGCAAGGGCGATAATCCCAATTGGAGACAATCAAATACCCCTGAGATCCGGGAATGGGTACTAGAACTGAACCATATAATGCGAATGGAAGATTTGACAGCTCACGTATATGATAGGTCTCCTTTCCCCTTTTTTTAATGTGAGTTGGTATGGAGGGAGTTTGGAAATGGGGGAGGTGGGGAGGGGTGGGGAATGGATGTAGGAGTGGGTATGATAGGTTTTTAATGAATAATAGGGTAAGAGCAATGGTGTTGGATTGTGATTGGAGTGGGATTTTAGATAATACAATACTTTTTGCTCTTTGTTCTCATAGTCATATAAGCAACGGTGATGGGCTAGTTTATTATGCAATCAATCATAAGCATTAGCTTTTCCTTTACTTTTTCTCACCTGTAATTAAGAAGCAATTTTAGATATGAGATAGCTGTTGAATGTAGACGCTATCGTTATTATCATGTAACTTATGGAACTGAATGTGAAATGAAATGAATAAAATCTATTCTGGGGAAAAAAAATAAAAAAATGGATAAAAAAGTGCTAATATACATAAAAAACAACAACAATTAGTGAACCCATGGACACGTGATTACCTGTGGCAAAGTGCAATAGTGTATAATAAAAACAATATCTCATTAAATACACATAAATACATATTTTTGGGAACAATACAAGTTCAAATATCCTCCACAATGTATTAACGTCTGCACTATAATCAGATTCCATGGCAAATCCACCAACATGCATACTGATCTGCAGTCAAATTCAGGTGTCTTGGGACATCTGTGTAGTTATACTAGTAAAAAATTATTTGAATTGATTAATTTATTAATGAATATACAACTGCATTAATTTGTATTTTTATAAGCTTAAAAGCAAACTTGTTACATTGCCTTGCACGGACCAAAACGAGCTTTGCTTTAATTTATGTGAATTAACTTAAAGCAACATCCACCAAATTCTAATGTCTTGGGACATCTCTGTTGTTTGCTTCCTCAGGCTTTTGCCCACCTGGGTTCCAGAAGTGTCAGAATAAGAGATGTTACAGGCCAGAAGAGCGGTGTGACTTTGTGGATAACTGTGGGGATAACACCGATGAGAAGGACTGTGGCACTTCCTGTACATTTGAAGATGGCCTCTGTGGTTGGCAGAACTCCTTGGCAGACAACTTTGATTGGATCTTAGGAGGAAACTCTTCACAAGCTCTAAAACCTCAGATTGTGGATCACACTACAGGAAACGAGAAAGGTGTGTTACAGTTTTATTTAAAGTGACACTAAACTCCGGAGTTAAATCTTAAAAATTGCAATCAAGTACCCTAACTATTAACAAAAATGTATCTTATTTGTGTATCACTCGGCTGTAGATCCTCAAATCATCTCTGAATTTGTGCTGGCACTGTCCTTCCTTCTGGAAGGTGGCTACTTTTGTTCCCCATGGTCCCTGTATGTGCTGTAAAGTAGACACCACTCAAACCTCAATCCTGTGATGGACTAGTTTGCTAATTTGTATTGAGATTGTAGTTCATCACAGGAGTGAGCTTGGAGCTCCTCCAGAAGGAAGGACAGTGTCAACACCAATTCAGAGATGAATTGCTACACGGTCGCTCCTCTGATGGACTACAATCTCAATATCCTGTGATAGACTACAATCTCAATCTCACACACAGACCATCGAGAACAAAAGTTGCCACCCTCCATAAGGAAGGACAGTGTCAGCATGAATTTAGAGATGATTAGAGGATCTACAGCCGAGTGTTACACAAATAAGATACATTTTTGTTAATAGTGTACTTGAATGCATTTTTAAGATTTACCTCCTGAGTTTAGTGTCACTTTAAAGGTTGCAGTCTTGAAATGTGGGAGCTGTCATTGGTGTCATGGTTTTGTGATGCACGTTCCATGGCTTAATTAGGATTTTGCCAGATGCCAGAGAGATATATTTTTATAGCAATAAAAAAAGTCTGACTGCAGTAACAATTGATTTGATTGTTCCAGGTAACTGCACTTTTCACACTGTCATTGCTCTCGTCCCTACCTTATTAAATGAGTCCAATTGTCACATTATGGTGATGAATCCACAAAGATTGTTATTTATCTAACTAGAACACTTTTTTTATGATTGTGTGTAGCTCCACAACAAATTTCTGAATACATTTACAATAACGTTTCCAACCCTTGCATTTCGCTGAATAGCACTGACATTTCAGCACTGAGACATTATAATGATGTATTCTTGTAAAGAAACTAAAGCAGAAAATAGTTGCATTTGTTGCTTTTTAATAAGTCAATAAGCTTACACATAGGGACAATTTATAAAGGTCGATATTGCTATTTGGCAATTTTTGTTTGCTACCGGAAGTGTCGTTTCCAACATTTTCCAACAGCCTATAGATCAAGCAGCTCTGGAAAATGTATTCAGTGATGTCCAATATATTATATTTTACATCCGAGTAAAATCTATTTTGCAAGTAACCTTACAATTTTTTTCCTTATCCATTATTTTCAATGGAAAAAAAAAGAATAACCTTTTGCTTTCCTTTTGTTGGTATTTTCTTTTGGTTTAGTCTTGTGTTCTGTTTTGTCATTTGGGCCATCACCTTTTTTTTTTCACCTCAACTTTCAACTTTTCATTTCAAACATTTATAAATTGGAGGAAATGGGAAAGGTTGGATTTTAACATCTTGTCCACCCAGGCTAATTGTCACCTGCCACAACCCTCACCCCAGTGGACTGATTTGCCTTTGTATTACACTAAATTTGGGTTCACACGGCTTCAATTTCAGTCGGTTTCTGATGAACCAGCTGGAATTCGCACCATGGGTGCCGACAGTGGGCACCTTCCGCCTGGCATCCCTCAAACAGCTGATCAAAGGAGCTGGTTGGAAAATTCTCAGCTAAACAGAGCAGTCAATCAGCTGGAAACCGTAGGGATTTGTCCGTCAATGCTTGTAAGCATTGATGGAGTAATTTGTTCTATTTTTTTCCTTCAGAATGTGGGCGGGACAAAAAATTAGAACCATGTATACCCCACTAAACAAAATCACAAATTACACTAGGGGTAGGGCTAGACTGAAAGAGGCAGTTTTTCCACTTTGCATGATTACACCTAGACCCAATGAATAGAAAATTAGCAAAAACTGTCGCTCTTCTATACTAGCCGTGCAAGTCTACATCTACAGAGCTGGTGAACTGTAAGTACGCAGTACATTAATCTACCAAATCCATGAATTGTACAGGAACAGCATGAGTGAGGATTTTGCTGCTGTTTTTGTACAATGAAAACATGTAATTGAGGTACAGTTGCTGACCATATTACTCGCATGTCATCAGACACATTGAGTTGAGGTCTCCACTTTGATTTCAGGTTAAGTCATTCAGGAAATCCTGTTTAAAAAAAAAAAAAGTTTAAATTATTAAGCGGAGAAATCCCATACCCCCATGATTTGGTTCCCATACCCACTGGGGTATGAACCACTGCATTAGTTGGTGGGCAGCAATTCACACAAGGCCCGCCCATGAATGATCTTTACAATAAAACATATCAGGTCTGATCTGGTGAATGTGTACTGTACAGTATATTGATGCCTGTGAAGGATAAAAGGGGGAGCACTGTAGGCGTTGGCTGTTACATGGGAAGCAGTTGGTCAAGAAAATATATCTCAGCCAATCAACCATCCTCAAAGTGATCTTGGCTAGGTAACATCAGCCTGGGTCATGGTAGGGCCTGCAATCATATGTACATTACTTGATCTGACAATACATGCGCAGATTGCGTGAACCCTTCTGTCTACAGGCACCTCTAGCATTAAGCCCAGATGGGTGTTTCCCTCATTGATGCCCTTTTTCTGTCAGACATTAACCAGTCATTGGGCTATTATTTTTATTTTGATGTTGGTGGTAACACAATGTATCTCAGTTTTTGTAGACAAGTGAGATAAGCAGAGTGAAACCAAGTTGGGGTAAATTTCTCTAAGATCAGATGACATGCAACCTGTTCATTTTGTTTTTCTCTTGCTCTCAGTGCACTTCAGAAAAATTAAGTAGAATCCAGTAAAAAGAAAACCTGTTTCTACCAGAATTCTAAAATACAGTACTTCCTATTCATTTTTTACATTCTTTATTACTGATAATCAATGTTTCTAATTCCACTTGGGTTTCTTTCTTTCGTTCGTTCTTTCATTCTTTCTTTCCCTTGTATCTACTCTGACTCATATTCTAGGTCACTTCCTTTCACTGGAAACTTCCTTGGTTGGGTTGAGCGGTGAAAAGGCTCATATAAAAAGCACCATATGGAAGGAGTCAGGAGAAGATTGCACACTCAGCTTCTGGTACTACATGTCATCAAAAGCTACTGGCCAAATCCGAGTCCTTATCAAAGTAAGAATTCCCCTTTTTTTTTACCATGTACCATACAGCTAACATTTAAAGGACAACTTCCGTCTAATTGAAAAGCAAGATATTGTTTTAAAATGAGGAGTTGTTAAAGTCACACAATGTAACCCATTAAAGTGACACTAAACTCAGGAGTTAAATCTTAAAAATGCACCCAAGTACCTTCACTATTAACAAAAATGTATCTTATGTCTGTCCCTGTGTGTATTGTAAAGTAGCCACCGCTCCAAGCTCAATCCCGTGATGGACTATAATCTCTCAATACAAATAATAGAGTAAACGTTGTAAATTAGACATGTGCATTTGGATTCGGACAAACCTGCAAATCAACGAAAATCAGTTTATTCGGCGGTTCGTCCGAATCCGAAATAACAAATTGAATAGTTGCCCGAACATACTAAAACGATATTTGGGCATACATAAATTTGTTTTCATATTGGCCGCCGGCGTGTTCTGCAGTGACGTCACACACTGAACGAGCGGTGGCCAAATCGGCCAGCGGCACATTCTGCGTATGCGCACTGCCATTTTGGAGTAGATCTTGGTATACACCAAGATGGCAGCGCTCGAACAAGAGCTAATCCAAAATGGTGGTGCGTGTGCCCAGAATGTGCCAGCGGCCGATACGTCTGCCGTTCGTTCTGCGGTTTCAGTGTGCGGTTTCGGTTTGGGAGGCTCGTTTTTCGTTTTCATTTGTTTCATCTGGAAACAATTTTTTTTGCCATGCACATGTCTATTGTAGTCTATCACAAGAGCGAGCTTGTAGTGGTGAATAGAATAAGTCTGATTTTAGTATTCTGCAGCATTATTCTTCTACATGATAAGTTAACAGTTTCTAAATATGCATTAGTCTTTTCCTTCTTGTGAGAATATTGTAAAAGCTGAATTTTCATATCCCGGAGCATATTTGCTTTTTGTAATAATGTTTGAAACTATCGAAGTTGATTGTCATTCTATAGCTAGAAATATAGCTAAACCATATCACAGGTGAGAAAAACAAGATTTGCCTCCTAGTTATTAAATCAAAAAAGTAATTGTGCCAGTTTCCTGAGAGGCGTATGTTGGATTAACATGACTAAAAGACTTACTGGCGGATCGAGCTATATTGGCCACTGAAGAAACTAGATTTTTCTCCATCTGGCCCACCGATGTAGTGTTCTTCATGTTATGATTGGGCTCTCCTGGGAACGCAAGTGATGCGGATCAATAACTGAACTGAGTAACTCTATTGCAAGTGGTCGACGAGGAACTTTTAAAAAGTCTAGCCACTGTATTTAAACTAAAGCAGCAATTATCACGAGTATTCAAGTGATGGAGAAATCCATAAAGAACTATAAATCCTTTGAGCACTTAAAGCTACGCGGTTGACTGATTATAGGCTTTAAGATAGTTTCAGGTAACAGATATTTTCATGGCACAAAAATTGTATTCTTTTGTTCAGAGTTTCTGCTGGAAGTAGATGAAGTCGGCTGTGCAAGTGAACCACAACAATGTGTTAAAGAGTAACTTGTGCCAACTATATAAAACACTTTCAAAGCAGAACTCTCCAATTACTCTTACAGTTCCAAGTATCCTATATGTACCGTTCAATAGTTGTTCACCCCTGAAATCATGGTAATATTGATTACCCATTCGATGGGTGACTAACAAATAAACTGGCTGCTGAGAATCTGTTCTTTTACTCAACTTCTCTCTCTCGGGCTGCTGATTGGCCATAAGCTCATCCCTGTGCTCTCAAAATCCTAGATGTATGTCCCCAGTGTAAGCCAGCACCAGTTCTGCCCTTCACTTGTCCAGTTTGAGGGAAAGCTATTATAAGGACAAATTTAGTGATTTCTGAAAGCTGAATTTAAAAACACATTTAGGCTGCATTTACACTTGTGAGCAACAAGCAATGTATGTTCCATTTTAATGGCATCCCAACGTGCGTACATGCTCAAGACAAATAACACCTGAGCCTCAGTCCTGGACTAAATTTAAAGTATATCTGAAGCCAAAATGTGTCAGACCTGCCAGCAGTATGCTTTGCTTTATTTTTATTACATATCATTTCCTGGTGTCTTCGAGCCGGTCCTGTCATACACTGGGTTTGCTTTGATCTTCTCCTGTTAGTTGGTGGCCCTGAATGATGCAGATAGCAGCACTGATGTGATAACATTAGAACTACTCGCTGCATTTATACACTTTAAGTGCAGGGAGTCATGCTCAGGGTTTGAGGTCATGATGCCCTTCATTCACAGTCTTTCCTTAGTCTATCGTGTTGAGTGACACTGGATTCAACCCAGTACACTGAAGACATCTTGTGAAGAAGAAGAGCTACTGGGGGGAGCAGCTCAGGACTGAGGGTTATTATTGCAGCCAGAGCTGCTTTATGAAAACAAATTCCATGCAGACATTTAAAAACAATTAGGGAAGTTGGGCATGGAGAACATCGACTGAATACACAGTAAATAAATCTTAAGTCCCCATGTACATAAGCCCTTAGAGCAACCCGATATAGTTTCTACAAAATATACTAGATACTGTATAACAATGAAAAAAACACTTAAAGCATGATGGGAAATGTTTGTTGATCTTTGAAGGACAGAACTGACTGTTTTATACAGTTTCTTGAATTGCCCACATGACTGTAACAAAATCTATGCATTTTATTTTCTCAAGTCATTGAGCAGAGTCACCAGGTGAAATGTTAAATAAATGAAATACGGCTCCATCTTTCAGCCAAATAATAACAGAAATGCTTTACTGGGTTGAACTGTATTAAAACAAAGAAAGCTAGCTGAATTTTTGTGGCATTCCAGACATTTTTGCTGGTTTGAGTTTGGCTGGTTTGCAAAGTATCGGTTTGCTAACGATTTGTGTCAGAAGTGTTACAGAATGATACTTAGGCTGAGTAAAGTTTTTTGCTGAGGAGGTGAATAGACTTTGCCTTGGCATAGCAAAATGCGGTATGTCCAGGCTCCTACTTATGGCATAGTGCAACTATTCATCACTGTTGTCTGGAGATCTTGCCCACCATTAAAAAGCATCTGGTTGAAATCCTCTAATCTGTGCAATGTGAGCAGCAGCCTTAATTGACTTCAATAGAAAGACAGTCAGGCGGTGGACAGACTTTCGATTGAAGTGTATGGAGGCTGTGGCGTACTCTAGTAGAGGAGTGTATAATTTCAGCCAAGGACTGTGTTGGTCCAGGCAGGCCACACAGTGAAGATCTCCAGACAGCATTACATAGTTAGTCAGGTTGAAAAAAGACACAAGTCCATCGAGTCCAACCTATAGAGATACGGAGAAAAAAAAAAGAAGAAAAGGCTAAACAGAACACTATGCCCACAATTACCCAATGTTGATCCAGAGGAAGGAAAAAAAACCCCTATAAAGCATGGTTCAATTTGCTCCAACAGGGGAAAAAAATTCCTTCCTGATCCTATAAGGCAATCGGATATTCCCTGGATCAACAATCTCTGATGCTTAATATACCTCTAAGAACTCAATATTCAGTAATATTCTGTGCATTTAGGAATACATCCATTGTTGTCCTTTTGAGTACAAAAGGTTAAGTGCACTATTGTACAGCAGAAGCCAGACCCTCTGATGTGAAGTTGTTCCAGTTCAATGGTAGATGACCTCCTTCATTACACTGAAACATCCATCCCTAAATAGGTGGGTGGCTTTAACCAGATTTGCCACCTGTACATAATGCCTTTTTAAAATCTACCCTGACAATTTGAAAAAAATTCACACTTTCACTCTAGTGACTAGGATAGTTACCACATCCCCCAGAATTCCTGGTACCATGGAAAGTATTAGATTATGTAATTAGAACAGGATGGCTTCACAAACTACCACACCTCCCATCATGTTCTTGGACAACCAATATCTGCCTTGGCACATTACATGGTGATTGGATTTAGCTGGCTGAGTTACCCATGTGGATACAAAATTTGGGGTGTGTTGCTGATTAGAACTGAGGAAATTGTTTAAACAAGTAGCAAAATGTCTTGAACATTACAGAACAAGTCAAGTTGATTCTGACTAACTGCTACCATGACTTGATAAATGGGAACCTTCACAGACATACCAACAGTCATTAAACTGAAAAGCCATGGCATCATCTAGTCTTTATTGGTTCAGAACTTAAAGGGATGCAACTTTTAAATATCAGAAGGTAAAAGGGAAGCTTTACATTTTCGTTCAGCTTTTTTGAACATAAAAGCTCATTTACATTTTTAATTTGCATTTTTTACTGTACTTTTTTAGACAGTGAATTCTCCAGTATTTCAATATAACTAACCTTCCTGCATGCAGCATTAGAATAATTTAGTGCTACTGTATAGAAATTGGTCGTCTTAAACCAAATGCCCATGTACACTAGAGCCTTGCAACTCATATTTATAGAATATATTAGCTAAAAATTTCATGTGCAGTACATTTAATTAATTTAAGATCGCCATCAGGAGATTCTGCAATCTCTGCCATCGTTTGCAAGCAGATTAAGTCACTCAGTAACACTATACTTCATCTGAATTACAATTTAATGAAAAATACAATTTGAATTATAAGAGGCCTTGATGCAGAATCTAGTTAAAAGATAAATTCAACATCTTAGATTGAAGCAAGGCATGCCTATTTTTTGCTGATAAAAAAAATACCTTGTTGGTATGCAAACTAAAAGGTTTAATAGGATTTTATGTTAATTTCATGGCTCTATCAGAGAAAGTTTTTTTTCAATGCACTTTTTTTATTTTTTTTATTTCAAGGGATTTATTGTAGTCATTCTTTAGAGAAGTCTTAATGTCTTTCTTTGGGACCTATTTATTAAACTGCAGGTGGATTAACTGTAGGAATTAAATAGTTCTTGAGCATGGATTTGCTGTTGAATAGACTATGTCAATTTCAAATCAATTGATGTTATGCATGATTGTGCTATATCCTTGGGCTGTGGGAAGATGAAAGAAGTTGAAGTATGTATGGTGTAGATTCTAGGT